GGGTTACTAGTTATCTATTTCTACAATATTGGTCTTATACAGTATTTTATGAGAATGAGTTAGTTCACTCAGCATAATGTACTCGAGTTCCTCCCAAGTTGTGTAGTATTTTTCTAAATCATTGGCTTTACATGCTGTGTAATATTCCATCATGTGAATGTACCATACCTTCTCAATCCATTCAGTTGTGGTTGGATATGCAAGCTGCTTCCATGTTCTTGTGATGGTGACTAACCACAGCTAACTTGTCTTCCATTTGTAACCCCTTTTTTTCCTGTATACATAAAAATTGAGGAAAAACAATGTCTAAAACTTTGTAAGTAAACCAGTATAAAAAAATTGTTTTAAGGAGTCACTATTTAAAACAGAAATGAATCCCTAAGAATTAGATACAAACCTACTATAAAATCCCTAGTTTCTGGTAGTAAGCCAGAGAAAACCAATAGCTAATATGGAAACCAAACATTGTTGATTCAAAAATAAATAAACAAACCAGAATTAGTGAGACACCTAATAACCTAGGTGTATTCTCCTCATTCTGATACACAGAAAACATCTTGTTTCATTTAGAACATATGCTAAAGTGGGGGTATGGAGGAGGTGGGTGTGGGTAAAGGAAATAGATAAGATCCAGGGGAGGGGGATCTGGAAACACAGGGTAATGGTGGGCATAGTTTATTGCTAATTAACTTTATAAAACATACTGAATGACACTGGAAAAGGAGGGACAGTATCCTCCTATGGCAGTTGGATCTGATTCTACAGTACAAAGCAATAAGAAACTCAAACAAACCCAAACAAGCATAATGAATGGGAATGATTGTGTAAAACACATTATGAATGAAGGATAGTGTGAAACACAATGTATACAAGCTTTGTAAGCAAACCTATATAAAATAAAATTTTTTTAAAAAAGAAAATGTGCTAGAGTTATGCACACAAAGGATTGGGCATTAAGTACAAGTAAGAGGTGGCACTAAGGTGGCTTAAAAAACTCAAATTCTAGACTCTGGGTTTAACACTAATACTAACCAACTGGGCCAATTGGTAGCACTGTGATAGATGGAGGAGAGATTGAGATTGTTAACAGTTTCAGCTTGCTCAGGTCCACAGTTAACACTCTTGGAACCAGCAGCCAGGAAACCAAAAGATGAATTGGTTTAGGAAAGGCCATTAAGAACCCCTGCAGACTGCTGAAGTACAGAGATGTCAGTCTAGTGATCATAGTGTATCTGATCCAGGCCATGGTCGTCACAATTACTTGCTATGAATCAGAGCAAGGATGACAGATGAATGATCCTTTTGAGTTGTGGTGCTGGAGAAGAGTCTTGAACACAGCATGGACCACCAAGAGCAAAAAATAGGTCTGTCTTGGAGCAGGTGAAACCAAGGTTCACCTTGGAGGCTTGGAATTTCAAGTTCCATCTCAAATACTTTGGGCACATTGTCAGGAGGGACCAGTCCTTGGAGAAGGACATCATGCTTGGAAGGGTGGTGGGACAATGCAGGAGAAAAAGACCTGGGATGAGATGGATTGATACAGTAACTGGGGTAATAGGAGCAAGTGTGTTGGAGACAGTGAGATCGGCTCAGCTCAGGATAGGACAGGGTTCAGATCTATTGCACATAGGGTCACTGTAAATTGCAGGTGACTCTACAATACACATAACAGCACCACCACCACCACTACCACTAACCAAATAGTCAGCATCAGCTGTCCCATGGGAGAAATAGGAGTAGTCTGCTCCCATAAAAATTTGTAGCCTTGGAAATGTGATGGAGGATTGCTATCAGTTGGATCTGACTTGAATGTAGTGGGTTAGGTTTTTGGTATTAAGGACTACAAAGTACTTAGCTTCCAAATAGTTACTAGTAAGACTGAAGGGGAAAATAAAAATGATACTGAAATGAAAACTCAAATATATTCTTGAATAATGCTGGATCTCAGTGGACGGACATGTATGTAAAAATTGCAAGTCACAAATGACATCATCCACCGAAATCATCAATGCATATCATCATGGAAAGACTGATAATTCATCAGGGGATTGATTACCAAATGAATATATTTAAGATAATGGAAGCTAATTTCTCACTCTAAGAGTGTTCTAAAAGAAGAAAAGGGAGAAAATGAGGTTGCAATATTATGCTGCAGTATTAAAGAGAAATTGAAGTTATCTGCACGAGTCTATGATTTTCAACAGCATTGAGCACAATAATCACTCAGACTGTGGCTCCTAAATACTATTTTCCACTCTCAAGAACCAAAGAAAGCACTCTATAGAAAGGCATGGATCCAGAGCTAGGGCAGAGAAAGCACAAGTCAAATCTAGAACACCTTACTGTTTCGGGAAACAAGAAAATGCTTAAGAGTAATGGGACAGCAGAAATGATACAGAATTCAAGCCAAAGGAGATCTTATTTTTATAGCAGGACATAAAATAGCAAACCGTACTCCATACAGATAGAAATTAAAGTGTTATATAAAGAAATATAAAATGTGATGGGAATAAAATATTTATATAGCTTTGCAGCACTTTCTCACAAAACATTTGGTAAAATCAAATGTAAAAAAGACTACCTTGAAAATGATGAAGTCCAACACTTTAATAAAACAATCAAAATAATGATCATCATTTAATAATTATTCAAACTGAAATTACAGCACCACTTTCTGTGATACTCCTCTACATGTGCATTACTTTAATCACAAGAGAACTGCTGACAAAGCCAAACTGAGGACATTATAAAAAGTAACTGGCCTGTAATATTCAAAGGTGTCAAGTTCATTAAAATCTAGACAAAACTAAGGAATTGTTCCAGATTAAAGGGGAAAAAAAAGACATTGTGGGGACAATTAGAAAGGGCATTATTGAGACGAATGGCAATACCTGAATGGGACTGAAGATTTATATGATAGCATCACCTAAGGATACTTTAGATTATTGCACCTAGTATCTTCCTAAAAGCATGCTGGCTATTCGCTAGGTTATATACATGAACATGTGTCCACCCTTAAAGAACCTCTAAAGCAATGATTCTCAACCCTGGCTCCTAGTAAAATCTTCTGGGCAGTATTATAAAATGTCTGGCTGGGCATCCAGATTCCTTAAAAGCTTAGTGGAAGCACATCTTCTACACACAGCCAGGGTTAAGGTGTTATGAGGTATCAAGGGAGATTGACACAGACAAATATCAACAGAAGATTGTGAGTGTTTTAATATAAATACTGCTCACTTAGTATAATCTTCCTGGATAGGAAGCCCTTGAAGTAGGCCTTGTTAAATGGAAAGCATTTTATTAAGGATGACAGTGGTAGGTGTGGAAAGAGATATTAAAATTAGTTATTAAGACTGCTGTTCTTCCTCTTGTAAAGATTTCTTTGCTTGATTAGGATGAAGTAATTAAAATATTGGCGGATTGTTTTATAAGACAAAATTGTTATGAACATTCCATTTGATGTCACTAATGGCTTTCTATTCATTTCTTTCTACCAGGTCTTCAATGAAATTTATCCAGTATGGACTTACTCTTACCTGGTGCTACTGTTACCTGTGTTCCTTGCCACAGACTACCTCCGTTATAAACCTCTTGTTCTGCTGCAGGGACTCAGCCTTATTGTTACATGGTTCATGCTGCTCTATGCCCAGGGACTGCTGGCCATTCAGTTCTTGGAATTCTTCTATGGTATTGCAACAGCCACTGAAATTGCCTATTACTCTTACATCTACAGTGTGGTAGAGCTGGGCATGTACCAGAAAGTCACAAGTTACTGTCGAAGTGCCACATTGGTGGGCTCCACAGTGGGCTCCATTCTGGGGCAAATCCTTGTCTCAGAAGCAGGCTGGTCCCTGTTCAGCCTAAATGTCGTCTCTCTTACCTCTGTTTCTGTGGCTTTTGCTGTCGCCTGGTTTTTGCCTGTGCCACAGAAGAGCCTTTTCTTTCACCATAATCCATCCACGTGCCGGACAATGAATGACACCAAGGTGCAGAATGGTGGCATTGTTACTGACACTTCAGCTGCTAACCACCACCTTCCTGGCTGGGAAGACATCAAGTCAAAAATCCCTCTGAATATGGAGGAGCATCCCACGGAGAAACCCGTAAGTTAAATGTCTTCATAAATACTTAGTTTCTATCCTCTGGGGACTGGATGAGTAATGGAAAATCAGTCAGGATTATCCCTCTTGTTAGACTTTGTATCTGTCTGGCTTCAGATCTTTTCCTAAGCTGTTTCATTCAGTCATTCATTTGTTTATTTGATAAATGGTGGATTTATCTCTGGGATGCCAGATATATATTTTGGAGTGAATGAGCTCCAAAGTCAGATTAATAAATTGCTCCTATCATCAAATTCTTGAATGGCAGGGGCTTGGTCTTCTGCTTTAGATTCCCAATACTATATGATTAACCTTTATTCCCAATACTAATATGATTAAAGCATTAAATTTTTTTTCTAAATGAATAGGTGAAGTGATTAAAAAGTTATTTCATATATTCAAGTTTCTGAAGTAAAGTCCAAAGTAATTAAGGAAAGGAGGTTATTTCTTTCTGTACCAGAAGTGCAATCTGGTATCTGTTTTGCAATGACCCTTTGCAGAGTGGTAATAAATAATATCGAGGAAGAAAAGTTTGATGATGGTAAGATAAATGTTAAAGGGGTGGCTAAGAAGTTTCCTAGAGAACAGAGATATATCGATTTATCCATCTAGTCTGCCTAGCCAAGAATTTGCTGCCTCTAGTCATCCACATTTTTTAGTTAAAGTTGTGCTTTTTGCTTTTTTTTTTTTAAATCAGATTAAAAATTGTGAGCAAGAAAGTTCATGCTAATCACACTGAATTAGTTTCAGGTTTCTTGGGACTAGTTTGGAAGTAAGCCTATTAACATTCCATCTTTGCAGACAGGTTCAATCAGACAAAGCTCCATAAGCTTCATAGGTTGGGTGAGAATAGAGAATGACCATGAGTAGAAAGAATATTTGTCTTACTCTGGAGTTAACCCTACATGTTTCAACTTGACATTTAATGTCTTCCTTGAAAATTAGTTTCTTTTGATTGCCTACAGTCACCTCTAGGTACTAGTTAAATTTATTCCAAAATTCCTCCCTAGAATCTGGATGAGCCTCATCATGACACTCACCTTGATTATCAAACAGCTGAGAATACTTCCATAAAATGAGCAAGACTAAAGGAACAATGACATGCTGATCCCTTCCTCCTCTGTTAGGTGATATCAGAGAGTCAACAGAGTGGTTGAGGAAGTAGGAAAAGGAAGTATAATTATGAAATAGATATCATGTAATAGAAAAAGTTTGACCTTTTTGGATTGATTTCAAGTGTATTATAGTGGCTACAATAGGAAAATACACAAACACAAAGATATTTATACATTCTTAAATATTAACATATTGACAGTGGTTCTACAGATTCCTCATACAACAGTGGTCTTCAGGTGTTTTGAACAGGACCATAGGGAGAAATACCTTTTGCATAGTAAGTAGTACATATGTACCTGCCAAACCCACTGCTGTCAAGTTTATTCTAACCTAGAGTGACTCTGTAAGACAGCAGAATAGTTCTGTAGAACTTCCAAGACTGTTAACCTTTATACAAGCAAACTGCTTTCTCTTTCTCTCACAGAATGACTGGTGAATTTGAACCACCATTTGGCTAATAGAATAACACTCTTATCCACTGTACCACCAGGGCTTCTCAGTGCATATACAATCAACTATTCATTCCAACTCATGGCAATACTTCATTCCCAGGCTGTAAATCTTCATAAAAGGAGACTACTCATCTTTTTTCTGAGGAGTGCCTGCCTGGTGAATTCAATCTGCCAACCTTTTTGTTCGCAGCCCAACATGTTACACACTTTGCCATCAGAGCTCCTTAAGTATATATAGGTGTGTATATACATATACACACATATCCATACACACACACACACACACACACGACATTGTTATGTGCTTTCGAGTCACTTGCTACTCATAGTGACCCTATGTACAAAATCCCTAAACCCTGCTCTATCCTGTGCCAATCTTATTGTCTCCGACAACCCTACCCCTATTGCCCCAGTCACTGAATCAGTCCATTTCAGCGACAATATCCTCACTTGCACTGTCCCTCCACCCTCCCAAGCATGATTTCCTTCTCCAAGGACTGGACCCTCATTGCAACATGTCCAAAGTACGAAGCCTCAGAATCTGTCTCCAAGGAGCAGCCTGGCTTCACCCTCTCTAGGATGAACCTGTTTGTTTTCCTGGTAGTCCATGGTATAGTCAACACTGTTCTCTAGCACCACAGCTCAAAGGTATCAATTCTCTATCATCCCTAGTCATTGTCCAGCTCTCTGACACATAGCAAGCAATTGCAAAGACTATGGCCTGGATCAGGAACACCTTAGTCTCCAGACTGACATTATTGCTCTTCAGTACTCTGGAGAGGTCCCTGACAGTCGACTTTCCCAATGCAGTTTATCTCTTGATTTCCTGGCTGCTAGTACCAAGAGTGTTGATTGTGGAGCCAAGCAAAGTAAAGCTGTTAACAGTCTCAATCTCTTCACCATCTATCATGGGTTGTCAGTCAGCCCAGTGGTGAGAATCTTTGTTTTCTTGGTGTTGTGTTTCAATTCATATTGAAGGCTACAATCCTTGATCTTTTGCAGCAAGTGTTTCAGGTCCTCCTCAGTTTCAGCAAGCAGGGTTGTGTCATCTACACAATGCAGGTTATTGATGAATCTTCCTCCAATCCTCATGCCACATTCCTCCTCATACAGTCCAGTCTCGAAGATGATCTGTTCTGCATATAGATTGAAAAGGTATAGAGAAGAATACATTCCTGGAGTATACCCTTCCCCATTTTGAACCATGCAGTCATTCCTTGCTCTGTTCTGATGACTGCCTCATGGTCCAAGTGTAGTTTCACAAAAGCACAATCCAATGTTCTGGGATTCCCATTCTTCTTAGAGTCGGCCACAGTTTGTAGTGATTCACACAGTCAAATGCCTTTGCATAGTCAATGAAACACAGATAGACATTCCCTTGGTAATATCTGTTTTCAGTGAAGATCCATCTAACATTAGCTATAATATCTCTAGTACCATGGCCTTTTCTAAACACAGCCTACACATTTGGCAGTTCTCTGTTTACGTGTGGCTCCAGTCAGTTTTGGATAATTTTCAGCAGAAACTTGTTTGCATGTTATATTCGATAATTTCCACACTCTGTCAGGTCACCTTTCTTTGGAATGGGAACAAATATAGATCTCTTCCAGTCAGTTGGCCAGGGAATTTGTCCTCCAGATTTCTTAATAGAACTTGGTGAGTGCATCCAGGGCAGCATCTTTTTGTTGAAATATGTCAGTTGACATACCATCAATTCCTAGGGCCTTGTTTTTTGCCAATTCTTTCAGAGCAGCTTGAACTTCTTCCTTTATCACCACAGGCTCTTGCTCATATGTTGTTTCATGAAATTCTTCTGTGTCAGCCAATTCCTTCTGGTACAGTGGCTCTGTATACTCCTTCCATCCTCTTTTAATGCTTCTTGGATAATTTTAACATTCTGCCCTAAGAATTCTGAAGTATTGCCATTCATGGCTTGAATTTGCTTTTCAGTTCCTTCAGCTTAAGAAACGCTGAGCGAATTTGGCCCATTTGATTTTCTGACTCCAGCTCTTTGCACATTTCATTATAATACTTTACTTTGTCTTCCCAAGCTGCCCTTTGAAATCGTCTATTGAGCTCCTTAATTTCTTGCTTGCTAAAAGTGAGGAAGACATGAAATGCTTGCTGCAAAAGATCAAGAACTATAGATACGGATTACATTTCAACATGACGAAAACAAAGGTCCTCACCACTGGTCCAAAAGACAACATCATAATGGAGAAAGGATTGAATCTGTCAGTGATTTATCTTACTTATATCAACAATGAACACCCTTGGGACCAGCAGTCAGATGATCAGAAGATGTTTTGCACTGGGCAAGTCTACTGTCAGGGACTTCTCCAAAATAATTAAAAGCAATGACGACAGCTTGAAGACTAAGGTATGCCTGATTTAGACCATGGTCTTTTCAATTGCCTTTGAATGGTGGTGCTGGAGAAGAGTACTGAACATCCCATGAACTTCCAAAAGAACAAATAAGTGCACACAGTGTGCTTGTTGGAGCCAAAGGTGACAAAGTTCCATCCCTCATACTTTGGACATATTGTTAGGAGAAGCCTGTTCCTTAGAAAGAGCATCATGCTTGGAAAGATGAAGGGTCACTAAAAGAGAAGACCCTCAGTGAGATGGATTGACACAGTGACTCTAGCAGTGGGCTCAAGTGTGTCAGAGATGATAGGGATGGCACAGGATAGAACAGGGTTTAGGTCTGTTGTTCATGGAGTTGTTCTGAGTTGCATTTGACAGCACCTAATCCCAGAACACTTGATTGTGCTTATGCAAAACCTATACTTGGACCAGGCGGATGTTGTCAGAACAGATCAAAGAAACGCTGTATGCTTTAAAATTGGGAAGAGTGTATGCCAGGGCTGTGTCCTGTCTCCATACCTTTTCAACTTATATGCAGAACAGATCATCTGGGAGGCTGGGCTACATGAGAAGTGTGGCATCAGGATTGGTGGAAGATTCATCAGCAATCTGCTTTAGGCAGATGACACAGCCCTGATTGCTGAAACTGAGGAGGACCTGAAGCGCTTGCTGCAGAAGGTCAAGGACTGCAGTCTTCAATACAGATTGAGGCTCAATATCAAGAAGACCAAGATTCTCACCACTGGGCCAATTGGCAGCATCAGGATGGATGGTGAAGAGATTGAGATGGTTCACAGCTTTAGTTTGCTTGGCTCCATAGTCAACATGCTTGGCACCAGCAGCCAGGAAATTAAAAGACATATTGGGAGGTGAAAGTCTGCTGTTAGGGACCTCTCCAGGGTACTTAAGAGCAATGGTATCACTCTGGAGACTAAGGTTGCGTCTGATACAGGCCATGGTCTTAGCAAATCACTTTCTATGCATCAGAGAGTTGGACAATGACTAGGGAGGGTAGAAGATGTCTTTGAGCTGTGGTGTTGGAGAAGAGTATTGGCTATACCATGGACT